TGGCTGCGGCAGCACGTCCATGGCAGACCCCCTGGAGAAAAATGAAGAGACAGGCAAGTGCTGGCGGGAGGGGGCGGGGCCCTCCCTCCGGCGCGCGCGCGGGGGGGAGAGGGAGACGATTTGAGTGCCGGGGGGGATCTCTCCCTTTCCCCGCGCAGGGGGGAGAGACAACGAGATTCGAGTGCAGGGGGGCGGGGGGCGGGGGGGCGCTCCTTCACACCGGCGCGCGGGGGCCGCTTTTCCCGGAAAGGGTGCGGGCCCAGGGTTCTCTTTCAGTAGGTTAACCCCCCGGCCCCCCTGCGACTTGGGCCGGCGAAATTATTTTGCGAGCGGGCACGCGCGGAGTAGGGCCGGCGAAATTATTTTTGAGGATGTCTCGAGCGAAACGCTTGTTTTTCAGAATTTGTTGAGGATGTCTCGAGCGAAACGCTGGTTTTGCAGAGTTGGGGATGTCTCGAGCGAAACGCTTGGTTTCAGAATTTGTTGAGGATGTCTGGAGCGAAACGCTGGTTTTGCAGAGCCGACCGCGACACGGAAAAGCGCTCCTCGCGCAGGAATTCCGAGGATGTCTCGCGCGTGCCGCGTCCCGCACGCAGGAATTTTGATTTCTTTGGGTTTTGACAGGATTTCTCAAGCGAAACGCTTGTTTTTCATAATTTGTTGAGGATGTCTCGAGCGAAACGCTGGTTTTGCAAAATTGGGGGATGTCTCGAGCGGGGGCCTCGTGGGGGGCCAGAATTCAGAGGATATCTCAGGCGCAATGTTTGTTTTCGTGTCCCGCTCGCAGGAATTCCGAGGATGTCTCGCGCGTGCCGCGTCCCGCGCGTAGGAATTCGGATGATTGTGATAGGATGTCTCGAGCGAAACGCTTGTCCCCAGCACGTTCAGTAGCGCGTCCCCTTGGCACGTCCCGCGTTGCGACCCCATGGCACGTCCCCTGGCACGTCGCCTGGCGCATCCCTTGGGACGTTTCGCGGCGCGTCCTCCTGGCATGTTCCCCTGTCCATTAGCTCTGGGGCAGCTACTATGTGTTCAGGCAGCTCGAGCTTAAGATCCAGATCAGTTCGGTCAGGACTCGGATGCAAAGGAGGACTCGATCCACGAGGCTATAGAGCACAATCGCGGCATGGCACATCGCAATTCAGCACGGCGCAGCACAGCACAGATTTCGGCACGGTACATCAAGATCGATACACTCAGCATTGCAACTTGGCACGTTCCTTGGCACGTTCCGTGGGGCGTCCTTTGGCGAGTCCCCCTGGCACGTCGCGTGGCGCGTCCCCTGGCACATTCCGTGGCACATCCATTGGCACGTTCCGTAGCGCGTCCCTTTGGCACGTCCTACGGTGCGACCCCATGGCGCGTCCCCTGGCACGTCGCCTGGCGCATCCCTTGGGACGTTTCGCGGCGCGTCCTCCTGGCATGTTCCCCTGTCCATTAGCTCTGGGGCAGCTACTATGTGTTCAGGCAGCTCGAGCTTAAGATCCAGATCAGTTCGGTCAGGACTCGGATGCAAAGGAGGACTCGATCCACGACGCTATAGAGCGCAGTCGCGCCATGGCACATCGCAATTCAGCACGGCGCAGCACAGCACAGCCCTCGGCAGGGTACATCAAGATCGATACACTCAGCATTGCATTTGCCCGTCATCCAATCAGGTGTCTTTGCAAACGCTGCCATGTGTTGCAGTTCTATATTCCTTTCCGGGTTCGTGGGTCGATCATGTTTTTCATAATTTGTTGAGGGTGTCTCGAGCGAAACGCTGGTTTTGCAAACTTGGGGGATGTCTCGAGCGGGGGCCTCGTGGGGGGCCAGAATTCAGAGGATGTCTCAGCGAAATGTTTGTTTTCACGTCCCGCTCGCAGGAATTCCGGGGAGTCTCGCGCGTGCCACGTCCCGCGCGCAAAATTTTGAGGATGTCCGTAGCGCGTCTGGTATACGTCTACGGTGCGACCCCCACAGCACGTCCCTTGGCACGTCGCCTGCGCGTCCCTTGGGACGTTTCGCGGCGCGTCCTCCTGGCATGTCCCCCTGTCAATTAGCTCTGGGGCAGCTACTATGTGTTTCAGCAGCTCGAGCTTTTCAGATCCAGATCAGTTCGGTCAGGACTCGGATGCAAAGGAGGACTCGATCCACAACGCTATAGAGCACAATCGCGGCATGGCACATGGCAGTTTAGCACAGCGCAGCACAGCACAGCCCTCGGCACGGTACCTCAAGATCGATACACTCAGCATTGCAATCTGGCACGTTCCGTGGCGCGTCCCGTGGCGAGTCCCCCTGGCACGTCGCGCGGCGCGTCCCCTGGCACGTCCCGTGGCACGTCCATTGGCACGTTCCGTAGCGCGTCCCCTCGGCACGTCCCGCGGTGCGTCTTCGTGGCACGTCCCTTGGCACGTCGCCTGGCGCGTCCCTTGGGACGTTCCACGCCGCGTCCTCCTGGCATGTTCCCCTGTCAATTAGCTCTGGGGCAGCTACTACGTGTTGAGACAGCTCGAGCTTAAGATCCAGATCAGTTCGGTCAGGACTCGGATGCAAAGGAGGACTCGATCCACAACGCTATAGAGCACAATCGCGCCATGGCACATGGCAGTTTAGCACAGCGCAGCACAGCACAGCCCTCGGCACGGTACCTCAAGATCGATACACTCAGCATTGCGTTTGCCCGTCGCCCAATCAGGTGTCTTCCAAACGTTGCCATGCCTTAAATGTCTATATTCCTTTCCGGGTTCGTGGGTCGATCATGTTCATAATTTGTTGAGGATGTCTCGAGCGAAACGCTGGTTTTGCAAACTTGGGGGATGTCTCGAGCGGGGATGTCTCAGGCGAAATGTTTGTTTTCACGTCCCGCTCGCAGGAATTCCGGGGAGGTCTCGCGCGTGCCACGTCCCGCGCGCAGGAATTTTGAGGATGTCCCGTAGCGCGTCCCCTTGGCACGTCCTACGGTGCGACCCCATGGCACGTCCCTTGGCACGTCGCCTGGCGCGTCCCTTGGGACGTTTCGCGGCGCGTCCTCCTGGCATGTCCCCTCTGTCCTGTTAATAACCCGCTCGCCCGACCAGCCGACCCGCCCGCTCGACGCGTCCGCCCGCCCGACCACACACCCAGTATTCAACAGGCTCCGTCTCCAGCAAAGCACACAGTACTCAACAGGTTCCATCTCCAGCGGAGCATTCAGGCTCCGCTGCCAGAGAAGTCTCTTCGGAGTTGCGTTAAAAACCCGACCCGCCCGCTCGACCAGCCGACCCGCTCGCCCGACCTGTCCGCCCGCCCGCCCGCACACCCAGTACTCAACAGGCTCCGTCTCCAGCAAACAAAGCACACAGTACTCAACAGGCCCCTGTCTCCAGCACAGCAACAAGTACTCAGCAGCTCTCCGTCTCCAGCGAGCACTCAGTACTTGACAGGCTCCGCTGCCAGAGAAGTCCTTTCGGAGCTGTATTAAACACCCGGCCCGTCCGCCCGGCCGACCCGCCCGCCCGCCCGACCAGTCCGCCCGCCCGATCGCACACCCAGTACTCAACAGGCTCCGTCTCCAGCAAAGCATCCGGTACTCAGCAGCTTTCCGTCTCCAGCAAAGCGCTCAGTATTCGACAGGCTCCGCTGCCAGAGAAGTCTTTCCGCAGTTGTATTAAAACCCGACGCTGTGCGTCGGGTTAAATTAAATTCTTTACGCTTCGCGTATCCCCACCAGCCCATCTCATAGCAGCAACTCTCGCGAAGCATGCCGACAGTCGTGTTTTTCAGGCGTGTGTCCGCTTGGCCCCGCATATCTCCCCTGTTCCTCCTTCCTCCCGCCTCCTTGTACATCCTCCTTGTGGGGGGAGCGGGAGAAGGACGAGGCGGAGGAGGAGGGAGAGAAAGCGCTCCTCGTGATTTGAGTCGTTTGGGGTTTCTCGTCCTGGTGTGAGTCGTTCGGGCCCTTCTTCCTGGTGTGAGTCGTTCGGGCTCTTCGTGGTGTGAGTCGTTCGGGCTCTTCGTCCTGGTGTGAGTCGTTCGGGCTTCTCGTGGTGTGAGTTGTTCGGGCCCCTCATCCTGGTGTGAGTCGTTCGGGCCCCTCCTCCTGGTGTGACTCGTTCGGGCTCCTCGTGGTGTGAGTCGTTCGGGGCCCGCGTCGTGGTGTGAGTCGTTCGGGCTCCTCGTGGTGTGAGTCGTTCGGGCGCCTCGTCCTGGTGTGAGTCGTTCGGGCCCCTCCTTGTGGTGTGAGTCGTTCGGGCTCTTCGTGGTGTGAGTCGTTCGGGCCCCTCGTCCTGATGTGAGTCGTTCGGGCTCCTCGTGGGGCCTCTTGGGGGCCTCTTGGAGCCTCGTGGGGCCTCTTGGGGGCCTCTTGGGGGCCTCTTGGGGGCCTCTTGGGGGCCTCTTGGGGCCTGTGGGGCCTCTTGGGGGCCTCTTGGGGCCTCTTGGGGCCTCGTGGGGCCTCTTGGGGGCCTCTTGGGGGCCTCTTGGGGGCCTCTTGGGGCCGCTTGGGGGCCTCTGGGGGGCCTCTTGGAGGCCTCTTGGGAGCCTCCTGGGGGCCTCCTGGGGCCATCTTGGGGCCTCTTGCGACCTCCTCAGAAGCGCAAATGAGAGCTGCCCCCTGAGAAGGACAACATGAGCCCAAAACCTTCGTAAAATCAATGATTTTGCTATGAGGGAAGATGAGCGCGGCCCCTCAGAAGGCCAAAATGGGGCCAAACCCTCGTAAAATCAATGATTTCTGCTTCAAAGACGAGCAGAGGGGCCAAACTCCCTCCCCCCGTCGGGGCCAGAATCCTCGTGAGGGTCGTCGTTTTTTGGCCCTCCGAGGAGTCGAAATGGACCCCCCTGACACCACCCCGGACTCCCTGTCCAGGTCCAGGGGGAGGGGGTAGGGGGAGGGGTAAACCCTTCCCCGAAGGGGAAGAAGGGGGGTTGAGGACAGAGCGGGCTTTCTAAACCACTCACGCCCAAAGGGCTGGTGGAATTGCGGTACTCACAACTGCATAATGTTGGGCTTTTCGCCAGGCTAACTTGTTGGAAGGATGGCGTGGGAGAAAAGGGCCTCATTGCTCTTGGCCTTCGGCCTGTCGAATGGGGGAGGGAGTGTTTCTGCTTAGGGGTCAGTGGGAACGCCTTGAATCGTAGGGGAGGCACACATTGTTGGAATAGGAGGCGCCCTTGACAGATTACGCCCAGAGGTTGGTGGGATTAGCACAGACGTTGAGGATTCGTGGATGTTGCGCCTATATGCTCTTCCTTGTTGTAACGGGGGGGCCAATGCCAGGGGCCCCCTGGCCAGATGACGCCCCCAGCCTTGTGGGTCACCTTGGGCGGTATTCAGACAAAAAGGACGGGAAATCCCAAATCGCTTACTAACTATACGGCAATCGATGTTTTGTCTAGTCGGGGGGGTGCGTCCTCCTGGGGCCGCCCGGGGGCGTCTGGGGAGCCTCTTTGGGTCGCATTTCACAAGGCGTCGACGCCAGCACCAACGCCAGCACCGACGATGTCATTGTCCTCCGCCACCGGCGATCCACACTTGCAGAACATGTTCGGTCAGCGGTTCGATTTGGTGAGGCCAGGCAAAGCTGTCTTGGTCAGCGTTCCGCGCGGAACGCCCGTCGAGGATGCGATGCTTGTTGTAGAGGCCGACGCGCGTCGACTGGGGACACACTGCTCGGACATGTACTTCCAGGAGATCAACGCCACAGGGACGTGGGCGAACAAGGTGCGGCCTGGAGGCTTTCACTTCGACGCTCACGACGCGCGTGACGAGACGCCGAAGTGGCTGAAACTCGGGCTTGTGGAGCTCAAAGTCGGCAGCGGTCACACCGACAAGGGGCAGCCGTATCTGAACGTCTACGTCAAGAACCTTCAGCGCACTGGGTATCGTGTCGGAGGGCTGCTGGGAGAGGATGACCACACGGAGGCGGCGGCGCCTGAGAAAGGGTGCCAGAAGATGTTGTCCCTCGAGGCGCGGTTGTATGGTCAAGCTTCGGATCTAAAGGGTTCCGTCGCAATTGGCTACTGAGCCGAGGGCTCCCAGCTCCGCGCGGGGCGGTCGAGCCCGCCCAAGAACTCTGCCTTGTAGAGCTCGCCGCTCGTCGCGGGAGCGATTGTCCGGACAGCCTGCCCGCCCGCAAGGGGTGAATTGGTGTGTCCCGCCGACATTTACGTCGAATTCCAGAGACCTATAGGGATCTGCGACGACAGAGCGTACATATGTACAGTGTCCTGCTGTGACAGAGCGCATCCTCTCTTTCTCCTGTTCTTCCCCTGCGGTCTCCTCCTCGCCCTCCTCCCTAGCGTGCTGCCGCTTGTTTGAATCGATGTCAAGCGTGTGCGCGCCTCGACTCCATGGAACCGCGTTCGGCCGTCTCCGTTGCAAAAAAAAACATGGTACGAGCGACGTGCCCAGGCCACACGAAGGGAGTATCTCACATGGCGGTCCCGAGCTGGAACCACGTGTTCTCACGTGTCCAGGCCACCCAGGGGGAGATCTAACATGGTGGTCCCGAGCTGGAACCATGTGTTTTCACGTGTCCAGGCCACACAGGTGGGTATCTAACATGGTGACCTGGCCACCCAGGGGGTATCTAACATGGTGGTCCCGAGCTGGAGCCAAGTGTTTTCACGTGTCCAGGCCGCCCAGGGGGGAGGAGTATGAGGAGGAGGAGTATGAGGAGGAGGAGGAGGAGGAGGAGGAGGAGGAGGAGGAGAACGAGGAAGCGGAGGAGGCGGAGGAGGAGGAGGAGGAGGAGGAGGAGGAGGGGGAGGGGGAGGAAGAGGAGGAGGAGGAGGAGGATGACGATGATGATGATGATGATGATGATGATGATGATGATGATGATGATGATGATGATGATGATGATGATGATGATGATAGATGATGATATGAGTATGAAAGGTGATGGGGATGGTGATGATGATGCCTGATGATGATGATGGATGCTGATGATGATGATAGATTGATGTGATAGATGATGGCTGAGATGATGATGATGAATGATGATGATGCTGGAAGATGGAATGAATGATGCTGTTGATGATGATGATGAGGATGATGATGATGCTGATGATGATAGATGATGACGATGAGATGATGATGATGATGATGATGCTGATATGATGATGATGATGAATGATGAGATAAAAAGGATGAATTGAGATGATGAGATGATAAGGATGAAGGATGAGGATGAGATGAGGATGAGGAAGATGATGATGAAATTATGATGCAGATGATGAAGATCCTGATGATGCTGATGCTGATGATGATGATGATGATGATGAGATGATGAATGATGATGGATGATGATGCGATGAGATGATGATGAAGGTGGTTGGTGAGGTTGGGGTGGTGGTGGGGTGATGATGATGATATGATGATGATGCTGCTGATATGATGATGAATGATGATGATGATGATGATATGATATGATGATGAGATGATGATGAATGAAAGATGGATGATGCTGAATGATGACCGCGAGTAAGACAAAAAGAGATGATGAGGAGGAGGAGGAGGAGGAGGAGGAGGAGGAGGAGGAGGAGGAATATGATGATGAACCATGATCAGATGTAGGAAGAGGATGAGGAGCATGAGGGGGACGAGGAGGGGGAGGTGGATGAGGCAGGAGGATGATAGGGGAGGAGGCGGGTGAGGATAATGAGGACCAGGAGGAGGATGATGAGGAGGAGGAGGAGGAGGAGGAGGAGGAGGAGGAGGAAGAGGAGGAGGAGGAGGAGGAGGAGGAGGAGGAGGAGGAGGAGGAGGAGGAGGGCTCGGATCCCTAGGATTTCCCAGGGTTCGCTAGGGATCTGAGCAGATCCTAGGATTTATCCCTAGGGTTCGCTAGGATCTGAGCCAGATCCCTAGGATTCCAGGGTTCGCTAGGATCTGAGCCAGATCCCTAGATTTCCCCAGGGTTCGCCTAGGTTCAGAGCCCCCCCCTCCTAGGATTTCCCAGGGTTCGCTAGTGATCTGAGCCAGATCCCTAGGATGTCCTAGGAATTGCTTGGGATCTGAGCCAGATCCCTAGGATTCCCTAGGGTTTGCTAGGGATCTGAGCCAGATCCCTAGGATTCCCTTGGGTTTGCTGGGGATCTGAGCCAGATCCCCAGCAATTCCCTAGGGTTTGCTAGGGATCTGAGCCAGATCCCCAGCAATTCCCTAGGGTTTGCTAGGGATCTGAGCCAGATCCATAGGATTTCCTAGGGTTGCTGAGGATCTGAGCCAGATCCATAGGATGTCCTAGGGTTGACTAGGGATCTGAGCCAGATCCTTAGGATTTCCTAAGGATTCCAAAGGATCTGAGCCAGATCCAGGGACCTGAGCCAGATCCTTAGCATTCCCTATGGATTCCCAAGGATCTGAACCGGATCCCTAGCATTCCCTAGGGATTCCAAAGGATTTGAGCCAGATCCTTAGCATTCCCTAGGGATTCCCATGGATCTGAACCAGATCCCTAGCATTCCCTAGGGATTCCCGAGGATCTGAGCCAGATCCCTAGCATTCCCTGTGGATTCCCAATGATCTAAGCCAGATCCCTAGCATTCCCTAGGGATTCCAAGGATCTGACCCAGATCCCTAGGATTCCCTAGAATTTGCTAGGGATTTGAGCCAGATCCCTAGGATTCCCTATGGTTTGCTAAGGATCTGAGCCAGATCCCCAGCATTCCCTGGGGTTTGCTAGGGATCTGAGCCAAATCCCCAGCAATTCCCTAGGGTTTGCTAGGGATCTGAGCCAGATCCCCAGCAATTCCCTAGGGTTTGCTAGGGATCTGAGCCAGATCCATAGGATGTCCTAAGGTTTGCTAGGGATCTGAACCAGATCCATAGGATGTCCTAGGGTTTGCTAGGGATCTGAGCCAGATCCATAGGATTTCCTACGGTTTGCTAGGGATCTGAGCCCAGATCCCCAGCATTCCCTCGACTTTGCTAGGGATCTGAGCCAGATCCCCAGCAATTCCCTAGGGTTTGCTAGGGATCTGAGCCAGATCCCCAGCAATTCCTTAGGGGTTGCTAAGGATCTGAGCCAGATCCATAGGATTTCCTAGGGTTTGCTAAGGATCTGAGCCAGATCCATAGGATATCCTAGGGTTTGCTAGGGATCTGAGCCAGATCCATCGGATTTCCTAGGGTTTGCTAGGGATCTGAGCCAGATCCCCAGCATTCCCTAGAATTTGCTAAGGATCTGAGCCAGATCCCCAACAATTCCCTAGGGTTCGCTAGGGATCTGAGCCAGATCCCCAGCAATTCCCTAGGGTTTGCTAGGGATCTGAGCCAGATCCCAAGCAATTCCCTAGGGTTTGCTAGGGATCTGAGCCAGATCCTTAGGAATCCCCTAGGGTTTGCTAGGGATCTGAGCCAGATCCATAGGAATCCCTTAGGGTTTGCTAGGGATCTGAGCCAGATCCCTAGGAATCCCCTAGGGTTTGCTAGGGATCTGAATTAGATCCCCAGCAATTCCCTAGAGTTTGCTAGGGATCCGAGCCAGATCCTTAGATTTCCTAGGGTTTGCTAGGGATCTGAGCCAGATCCGTAGAATTTCCTAGCGCCAGATCCCTAGGATTTCCTAGGGTTTGCTAGGGATCTGAGCCAGATCCCTAGGATTTCCTAGGGTTTGCTAGGGATCTGAGCCAGATCCTAGGAATCCCCTAGGGTTCGCTAGGGATCTGAGCCAGATCCCTAGGATTTCCTAGGGTTCGCTAGGGATCTGAGCCAGATCCATAGGATTTCCCAGGGTTCGCTAGGGATCTGAGCCAGATCCCTAGGATTTCCCAGGGTTCGCTAGGGATCTGAGCCAGATCCCTAGGATTTCCCAGGGTTCGCTAGGGATCCGAGCCAGACCCCTAGGATTTCCCAGGGTTCGCTAGGGATCTGAGCCAGATCCCTAGGATTTCCCAGGGTTCGCTAGGGATCTGAGCCAGATCCCTAGGATTTCCCAGGGTTCGCCAGGGATCTGAGCCAGATCCCTAGGATTTCCCAGGGTTCGCTAGGGATCTGAGCCAGATCCCTAGGATTTCCCAGGGTTCGCCAGGGATCTGAGCCAGATCCCTAGGATTCCCTAGGGTTTGCTAGGGATCTGAGCCAGATCCCTAGGATTCCCTTGGGTTTGCTAGGGATCTGAGCCAGATCCCTAGGATTTCCCAGGGTTCGCCAGGGATCTGAGCCAGATCCCTAGGATTTCCCAAGGTTTGCTAGGGGTCCAACGCAGATTCCCAGCCTGATTTCTTGTCGCCAGGGCTTCCAGGGGTCAAAGCCCAGATCCCTGATTTGACCCGCTCCCATTTAGAGCCAGACGACCGGTTCCCCGTTTTGGCCGATTACCCGTGTGTGTCTGTGCGCGCGCGGCGCTGGCAGCCCCGTGCTGGCCCCCCCCCGCCCTCCCCCTTTCTCGGGCGCTCCGCGAGGGCAGAGTGGTTGGAGTGGAGGGAGGACCGGCCCCAAAATGGTGTTCCTCAGTAAGTGGTAATCCTCTCAGGGCCAGTTGTTTGTCACGACAGAGTAAATCGAGCTTTACTCGGGATGAGGTGGAATATAAGACAAGAAATGACAATGGTATTAAACAACCTGTACGCCCTTATAGACTCCAAAGGTTGATTGAACTCTCTGTAGGGGAACCCCACCTGGGCCAGAAAGAAAACAGATCACAAAAGTTTTGAATGGCTATCGCTGTTTATACCGCCGTCTTCGTTTGGAGTATGAATTACCACCGTGAAGGAAAACGAAGAGAAACCGTCTCTATAACTTGGAAGGAGTGGAGGATAGAGAGGTATGGAACAAAGTTATCTGGCAGATGCTCATGAATAAGGTATCGTGTGCCCAGACTCGTGTTGCCAATCTAGAGGTGCTGCAGTCTCTCAGACAGGCTGCGGAGCTGGAGGCTCCACCGTGCACCATCACGCTGGCGAATATGCTTTGCTGCAGGGGAAGAATGCGGCGTAATCGCGCGACGGGGACTGATGGAGTGCCTGCAGAGATGCTCCTTCGATTGTCGTGGAAAACGTTGAGAGAGGTGCGAAGGATATTCGAGGCTGTGTTCCATAGACAGATTCCGTATCCTGATTGTTGGAGGGAGATCATAGTGAGTGTGATGCCTAAAAATCAAAACACCACGGATGCAAAGGAAACGAGACTACTGTGTATTCAAAATGCGTTATCTAAACTCTATTCTATGTGTGTGGTCAAGTTAGCGGAGGATTATATGGAGGAGGTGGGGGTGTTTCGTAGATTTGGTGTGTATGGATTTGTGAACGGACGGAGGCCATATGAGATTACGACTGCATTGAAACATTTAGGTCAACATGCTAGCAAATATCAGCACGCAGATGATCAATTACATGTTGCTCTCGCTGATGTTTATCAAGCTTTTGATCATTG